GTGTGTGGAAAGGGGGGGGGGGTGCTAAATATTGTCCAAAAATTCCGTGACTTAGATTATGGACGGCCCCATAGTTCAAGTATGTGGTTTCTTTATTTTTATCCCAATATTTCTTATGAACTGAGTATGAACAAAAGATGACATGCAATGTTTAAACTAACTGAGTCTGAACAAAAGACGACATGCAATGTTTAAACGTTCAGTTTCAATGTCTAATCATTTATCCTACCAAAACAAAAGGTTTGCTTCGTGTCTTTTGGAATCCTTAAAATCAGGGACGTCGTTTCAGCTTATGGAGGGGGGGGGGGCGAAAACCAAAACTTGGCCGGCAAATTGAGTTGTTTTTTTTTTTCTGGAGGCTATCACAGCATATAGCTTATTACTGGAGACGCCACAGTGCGTAGCAATTTAAATAAAAATTGTCAGATTCTGATTTATGTTTTATATTGTTAATTTTAAATGATCGAATAACTATTTTTTTCCTTTTTTTAAATTTATTTTCTGCTACGTTTGATTTTCTGCTGTCCCAGATACTAATACCTAGTAAAAAAAAAGTACTTACAATTTCAGGGGGGGGGGGTTGAACACCCCCTGCCATCCCAAACGACGCCCCTGCCTAAAATCCTAATATTTTCCTTGCATTTTGGTAAAATATGAATCCTTCCAGCAGATTTTATGTAAAAAGTACCGACCGAGACGGCTAAAAATCTGACGCTAGTGCTTCGACTCATACCAGCCGAACCGTATCCAATGGTATGTATAGGATCGCCATTGATAGACGCGTCCATTCAACATTCTATCTCCACGAGACATAAGTCCCCACCAGAGCAGAACCGAAATCCATTTCATTGCTGTTAATAAGTGTTTGTTCTAAACAGAAGACAGAAAATCCTTCTAGCATTTGGATAAGAACGGGAAAGAATATCAGGGGAACATTATTAAGTTCACGCGTAAGTAGCTTTCTTTATATTTATATTATTTTTATCATATGAATTGTTCATTTACTTGAACTTTTTTCATGAACATTGTCGTTTTTTAAATTAATTAATTAATTAATTTCTTTTTTTTTTTTTTTTTGCATCCTCAAATTTAATAACCATCCCAATATGTTCCTTTAGTGTTGCCGTTTTTATCCAACGGTCCAAGGACTAAGAGACATGAGGATGAGGATGCATTACTTTGTTAAACAGGAGAGATACTAGAAGAAATTATGAGCATGAAAATTTAATAACCATCCCAATATGTTCCTTTAGTGTTGCCGTATTTAAACATGTAAATTATATGTTATATGTTCTTAAAATCAACAAATGTTTATACTGTTTAGTTTCACCGCGGCTGGAATTTAAAGTGCATTTTCTGCAACAGCTGGCAGCCGTGACCTCCTTTTTTTTTTTTTTTTTTTGAAGTGTTTGATCTTCGACCTATTCGCACACAGGCTTGATCCCCGCTGATTTTGTTTTTGAAGAATATATTTTAAGGACATCTTTACATATTTAAATGTAACTTCTGGTAAGGCACATATTATTAGGTTTTTTTATTTTTTTAAAAATATTATTTTTATGTTAAATGTGCACGCTTGCTATACTAGGAAATGACTCGCCCCACAATGGCGGCGGCAATGAGTGAACTTCCCATCAACTTCAGCTGCTTGACAAAACATGCAGTCAAGTAACTCACTCTATAAGATTTAAATTGTTTCGATTTCCGTAAGATGAAATAAAAACTTAGTATCAGTGTTTTTAAGAATCGAATTTCCAAAAATAGCAACTTTTATTTGTCGAGGCTACTGAACACACATGTTCATACTGTTTGGTGGAGTTCTCCTGAATGGCGATTTATTTTGCGCGCCTATTGAACAAAGCGTTGCAGCCATACATACATGCATATAGACCTAAAGAATTGTTATCTGCGATGAATGCTTCATAAAGCGTGTCTTCGTTGCTTGCCAGGAAACTGTTCAAAAACAAAGTTGGTGGCAACATTTGGCAAAAATAATTGTCTTATATTTTTTTTTTTTAATAATATTGTCATATTTGAGGTTAGCTGCCTTTCTCTTCTCGTTCACTGTGCCTCGGTGTAGCACAGTCCAATCTAAACAATCATTCTTCCCGCGAACAATAATTGCTTGGAACCAACTGGACAATGCCGCCGTACACTTGACATCAATCAAGAGCTTCAAGGCTGGCCCTGGTATCCGCTGGGAGCCGTTAGGGTAGCCGCATCGCTTCCCCAACCGTTGCACATATGCCAGTACATGGATGCAGCAACGTACCCTACCAGAACCAGAAAACCCACTCAATACAGGCCTACATTATTTTAATGAATGATTGTCTGCTCGCGTCACCTTGTCTTCTCTGACCCTCCTCTCTTCTTTTTTTTCCCCTGAGGTTTCAATGACAGGGATAGTCGGGTGATGTTCCCCTGGGCTTTACGCAGAGTGCGTTCTATCCCCTTCCACCTTCGGGGGCTTCCAGGATAACATTGCTTTGGCCCCGAGGCTTCTAATCACTTCTTTGAGGAAGAAGAGCAATTCCTTATCAGGGCTAACATTGTTTCCGTTTTCCTTGTTGACGTTCCTGTAGCACTTTTTTTTTCCTTTTTTTTTAGAGTTGAGGTAGCTAGCCTCACACTAACACTCCTCCTTTTTTTGCACCCGGGTTTAGGACTAGCCACTGCAGAGTTGTATGTAGGCTTATTGGTCATTCGGAGTGCGCTCTTTTGAAGTTATTGCACCTAAATTATGGAACAATATGCCTCAATCTTTGAGGGGCATCGAAAATGATTTTTTTAAAATCATTTACGAAACATTTAAAGACTTTTTTTCTTTTAAAAAGGATTTAGGACATCAGAGATATGTGAGCATTCTAAAATAGCCCTATAAAAGTATTCAATCATCATCATCAACTGAAACACACACTATATCTGGGTTGTTGGGCTCCTCTGATATCTCCTATAAAAAGGAGGTATCTCCCCTCCCCCACCCACTTACACACTTATTTTTTTTCTCACAGCACTTTTTTATCCAAGAACGCGTCGGAGGGCCATTTTCGGAGGAATTGAATTTAAGATATACCGTCGGAGGGCCATTTTCGGAGGAATTCAATTTAAGATATACCGTCGGAGGGCCATTTTCGGAGGAATTGAATTTAAGATATACCGTCGGAGGGCCATTTTCGGAGGAATTGAATTTAAGATATACCGTCGGAGGGCCATTTTCGGAGGAATTGAATTTAAGATATACCGTCGGAGGGCCATTTTCGGAGGAATTCAATTTAAGATATACCGTCGGAGGGCCATTTTCGGAGGAATTCAATTTAAGATATACCGTCGGAGGGCCATTTTCGGAGGAATTCAATTTAAGATATACCGTCGGAGGGCCATTTTCGGAGGAATTCAATTTAAGATATACCGTCGGAGGGCCATTTTCGGAGGAATTCAATTTAAGATATACCGTCGGAAGGCCATTTTCGGAGGAATTCAATTTAAGATATACCGTCGGAAGGCCATTTTCGGAGGAATTCAATTTAAGATATACCGTCGGAAGGCCATTTTCGGAGGAATTCAATTTAAGATATACCGTCGGAGGGCCATTTTCGGAGGAATTCAATTTAAGATATACCGTCGGAAGGCCATTTTCGGAGGAATTCAATTTAAGATATACGATTTTTTTTAAACCAAATGTGCACCCGGACCTTTCTCCCTTGAAAACAAAACAAACAGCCCGGCGCCCCTACTTCAAACCCAAGCAAGCCACCCCCAGTCCCGCCCATTCGCAAAACCCCACCTTTAATGCCCTCCCCTTGTCAGTTATTTTAATACATTAAAAAAGTATTTCCATGGAAACCCTAACCCAGGTTTCGCCTTAACATGGCCTGATAGTCTGCTCATTCGGCCATGACTTCTTGTAATCTCACCTCGAGTCATCTAGAACGACCTTTACACTAGACACCAGATAGTGCACAAGTGCCTGGCAGGGCTCCCGAAGATTTTGTATATATGGCACCACATACAAATTGGTCCCCCCAACATTTTCTACATACGGTCCCACTTAAGAATTGGTTAACTAAGTCTCGCACGCCCTACAAACGTTATGACAATTTAATATTTGTATGAAACAAAATATTCTTATATATCATTTTATTTTTTAATAGGCTTTCTTAGAGGAATTTATGACTAAGAAAATAAATGTGTGATATATTACATATAAAATAAATGTGTGATACATAATAATAATAATAATAATAATAATAATAATAATAAAGTGTATTTCAAAAACACGCTTCATCCCAAAAGGCTCGAAGCACGGTACAAGAGTAAAAAAAAAAAAAAATCTATAATTTACAACATTTAAAACAAACGCAAAACTACAAAAACTAATTACAAGCATAAAAAAACCAATTACATAATAATAATAATAATAATAATAATAATAATAATAAAGTGTATTTCAAAAACACGCTTCATCCCAAAAGGCTCGAAGCACGGTACAAGAGTAAAAAAAAAAAAATCTATAATTTACAACATTTAAAACAAACGCAACACTACAAAAACTAATTACAAGCATACAAAAACCAAGTCAAAGTCTTTCTACCCATTTCAATCCTGAGCAACACAGCTAATATGCATTAAATGGAAAATATGGTAGACAATCATCCCAGAAGGCGTTTGCGAAATAGATGTGTCTTTAAATCGGTTTTAAAGGACTCCAGTGTCTGGTTGTTTCTGAGAGCGACTGGAAGGGCGTTCCGAATTTTACATATACAAAAATGTTAACAAATAAATTAAAAATGGGAACATGTAGATCATTACTTAAAAGTTAAAAGGTTAAGAGTTTTCCTCGCACCTCATGAAATTCCACCCCGCATCCCCACGGAGGTGCCAGCGCCCCAGGTTGGGAAGCCCTGTGCTAGGATTTTACGTTTACTTTAATGGCCCGATGACCTCTTGTCACCAAACCACTGTGTGCGCTCTGTGCGTGGCCCCGTGCGAACTAAGCAACTAAAACTTTTGGATCGGCAGACCGGCGTTACCCGATATGAACCTGAACAACACAGATATGATCTCATGTTCTCGGATAACTAGTTTTCAATATATTGTTATTGCATTCAGCAAGGTGGCTATAACGGGCAAATAGTTCCACGTTGATATACCGCTGTTACTTAACGGTAATGGTTATTATGTTCTGGTTTATCTGTATTAATTTTGTATTGTTTTGTTTTTTTAATGCTTTTCTTCCACGTTTTTCAATTTAAAAATGTGCATTACTGTAAAGCTCTACCTTTTTATCGTTTAAGTTTACAAATAGTAGTATCCCCCGACCGCTAATTCATTCTCACTCTCGTCATCAATCTCCTGATTCATTATCACTCTCGTCATCAATCTCCTGATTCATTCTCACTCTCGTCATCAATCTCCTGATTCATTCTCACTCTCGTCATCAATCTCCTGATTCATTCTCACTCTCATGACCAATCTCTTGATTCATTCTCACTATCATGACCAATCTCCTGATTCGTTCTCACCCTCATCACCAATCTCGTGATTCATTCTCACTCTCATCACAATGTCGTGATTCATTCTCACCCTCATCATCAATCTCCTGATTCATTCTCATCCTCATCACCAATCTCTTGATTCATTCTCACTATCATGACAAATCTCCTGATTCATTCTCACTCTCATCACCAATCTCCTGATTCATTCTCACTCTCATCACAATCTCGTGATTCATTCTCACCCTCATCACCAATCTCCTGCTTCATTCTCACCCTCATCACCAATCTCCCGATTCAGCCAACACCCCCGTGAAAGAAAAAATTTTAGACGGAAGTTTGATCGAACAGAAATGTGGATCTTTTACTGAAACCTTTTCCTATTAATTTCATTAAATTATCTTCTCAGGACGATCTGGCCACATCGCACATCCATCGAACATGACGACCTCGATGTTGCTCCTGTGTCTTGTCGGTCTTCAAGTCGCTGCTCATGCCCTAGAGACTGGAGAGGTGGTGAGCCCTGTAGGGAAGTTGAGAGGACTGAAGGTGGCTGCTGCTAATGGCGAGCCCTATTGGTCATTTCGTGGCATACCTTACGCCGCTCCTCCCGTTGGTGATCTACGCTTTGCAAAACCAGTGCCTTACCCCAATCCAGGTTGGACTGCCAGTGAATTATTCATAAATCGTTTATTATATATAATGTAGTATATTTTGTTACGTTGTTATGTTGTTTTGTAATTACGTTGTTACATTGCGCTAATATTTAAAATAGATGTAGCCCGCCAAACATTGGTGACAGCAATGCATGAACTTCCCATCTACTAAAATTAGTTGACAAAAACGTGAACTCTAGTTGCGCACATAATTTAAGAATGACAATTTTGCTACACCCCTTCCCCCACCCCCCTTTTCATGATACGTCACGGCACACTTTATATTTCACGGCGACCCGTCGCTTAGCAGACGCCACGAGCTTGGCTTGCAAGCGAGGGTGGTGCAGGAGGGGGGGGGGGCGGTAGCTCCACCGCTGTGTGCATGACTCGTGAACTATATAAATATAGCTGACCGGCGGCTTAGCAGACGCCGTGAGCCTGCTCTGGCGTATCTATGTGTAGCCTGCGTGGTCGTCTTGGTCGTCTTGTTGTTAACCCTAGTTTCTGGCGAATTATATATATAGATAATTATACAACCACTAAAAGCAAAGTTTTTTGTATGAACATTTTATAAAATGTAATAGCGAGCATTGGGGGGGGGGGGGGGGGGGTCCTGAACATTTGACAAAAGAGAAAGACTGGGCTGGTCAACATTGGAAGAACGACGACGACTATCCAGGCTCACCAGGTTGTACAAGATCACAAATGGGCTGGTCCACTGCTCCGGCATCAAACAGAAACTCGTTCATCTTCCCCCTAGACAGCGACGAGGCCACCACAGACAGTTCCGGCTGTTAAAAACAAGAATAAGTACAGGAGCTCCTCATTCCTGCCGAAGACAATAGGGGACTGGAACAAGCATGCAAAAGCAACAGTTGAGGCTGCCTCCTGTATTCCAACCCCCAGTTCGTAACACCACTGCTGAGTAGCCCTTGCAACCAGTGAAGTATCGCCTTGAAACCCATGCACGGTAACATCGCGAACCCTTATGAAACATAGGAGCCAGAATGATCAATTCATTGATCGTGGGCCCTCAAAATAAGAAGAAGAAGAAGACATGCTTACAAGTAACGCACCTTATAAAATCCCATTAGTGGTGCCCCCCCCCCCCAAGCTTGTAACCGCATATTTTTTCCCTCACCAGAACTGTATTAATATTCTAATGTCCCAACCACTTCTCCACAGCAGATTCTTTACACCAACAATTCCTGTAAAAGGCACCAAACGCGCTGGTGATATTTTTAATAATCTCATCTAGCGCAGTTATCGGGAATGTTATATTGTGAAATCATTTGCAACTGGTAGCGTTTAAACTGATTTTGGAAGGTTTAGGTGGGACTGAAAACTGGAAAGAATGTGTTGCCATCGGCAAGGAGCATATGTGCGGGTCATTTATTTATGAATCTCTGGTCAAAATCATGTTAAAAACTATTCACAAAGCAACACTCCCTAATTTCTAAAAACCACTTCAAAAATGACTCGGTGCTGAAGGGAAGTGAAGTTGACTTTGTTCTAAAGGGAAGTGAAATTGATTTGGTGCTGAAGGGAAGTGAAATTGACACGGTTCTCACGGGAAGTGAAATTGACTTAGTGCTGAATGGAATTTAAATTTACTTTGTTGTAAGGGGAATTTAAATTGACTTCGTGCTGAAGGGAAGTAAAATTGACTTGGTGCTGAAGGGAAGTGATTGACTTTGTTTTTAAGTGAAGTGAAATTGACTTGGTGCTGAAGGTAAGTGAAATTGACTTTGTTCTAAGGGGAAGTGAAATTGTCTTGGTGCTGACGAGAACTGAAATTGATTTTTACTTAAGGGAAGAAAATTAACTTGTTTCTAAAGGGAAGTGAAATTGACTTGGTTCTGGAGGGTAGTGAAATCGACTTGATTCTTTTGTTGTTAATATTTACATTTGAAATCATGTATACCAGCGTTTCCCAGACTTTTAAGATGCCCAGACTTTTAAGTGCCCCAGACTTTTATGTTTCCCAAACCCTTAGGTTTCCCAGACATTTAGGTTTTCCATGTTTTTAAGTTTCCCAGAATTTAAGTTTCCCAGACTTTTATTTTCCCAGTCTTTTAAGTTTCCCAGACTTTTATTTTTCCCCAACCTTTAGGTTTCCCAGACTTTTAAGTTTCCGAGACCTTTGGGTTTATTTATTTATTTAGGCATTTTTATATAGCACTTACCATAAAGCTCTAAGCACTTTACAATTATTAAAAACATGTAAACTAAGTAAAATAAAAATGAGACACTAGGATAGTAACTACTATACTATAGAAACAATGAAAATGGCTATAAAACGAGGACATTAAGTAAAATAAAAATGAGACACTAGGATAATAACTACTATAATATAGAAAAAATGAAAAAGGCTATAAAACGAGGACACTTTGACACATTTTGGCCTATACTTCAGGATCAACATTTAAGTCCCCCCCCCCCCCTCTTTAGGTTTCCCATACTTTTAAGTTTAGCGGAACGTTGTGTAAATTTCAAATTTAACCCAGGGTTCGGTGCCGGATTTATTTTTTTTATTGCATCTTTATTTGACCATATAAATATTTATGTTGTGCAGACCGGTACCGGTCCGCAAACCACCATTTGGGGAGCGCTGATTTAGACTCCATAGCTGGTTCCTTATTTCATAAAAAAATATGGAGAGCTTTGATATTTGATCACGTTGGTTGACTTTTAATTTTTTTTATTGTTCTAAATGATTAAGGTGTGTGTGTGTATATATATATATATATATAATATATATATGTGTGTGTGTATGTGTATATATATAATATGAGTAGTTAATCATATATTATTTAACTAACTATTTTAATATATGCATGTGTTATCTACAGATCAAGTCATTGATGGCACACAGCAGGGAGCTGCTTGCATCCAAGACCCTCGCTTTCTATCCCCGAATGAAATCATGTCTGAGGACTGCTTATTTCTGAACATATTTGCCAAAGAGATCAATCAGAAATCGCCAGTCCAAAAGAAAGTAGTCATTTTCATTCACGGCGGTGGTTTTTTCTTCGGTTCAACTTTTATTTACAACCCTGGAAGTTTTGTCACAGAACAGGACGTCGTGTTTGTAACCATCCAGTACCGCTTTGGCCTGTTTGGATTTCTGACCACAGAAGACGAGAATGCTCCTGGCAACTACGGCCTGTGGGACCAAGCACTCGCTCTCAAGTGGGTCAAAAACAATATTGCCGCATTTGGTGGTGACCCAAGTGACATAACCATAGCAGGAGAGTCAGCAGGGGGGTCTTCTGTATCTTTTCTTACCCTGAGTCCTGTCCCAAAAGATCTGTTCACCAAAGCTTATTCTAGCAGTGGAGTAGCGACATCATTGTTCGCGGTAAATAACTTAAACAAAGAGGCTGCGCGCGCTATAGCAATATTTGTAAACTGTTTGGATAAAGATGAGACCAGGATGGGAAAAGAAGTTATCCAATGCCTTCGTTCACGTCAACTGTCAGATTTTGCTAGCTTTCCATTGATTAGTAATTCTAGAACATTGTTTCATCCTTGGGGAGATGGTGAGTTTCTACCCAAATCTCCATTTGAACTCATCAAAGATGAACAATACTTGGAACAAATTGGCTTTTACCAGAAGAAATACCTCTTTGGTCTCACTAATCAAGAAACGACAATACATGGTGTATTTTTGTTTCTTACTAAAGCAATAATTTATAATGACACAAGACTGACTGAGGATGAGAAGTTTAACAGATGGCACTGGTATCTCTCAAATGTGTCAGAGGAAGTAATTGCTGATAGATTACAACTTGATAATACACCACCTGCATTGCTCAAAAAGCTGCGAGATTGGTATCAAACCAGAAATCCTACGCCTTATGATGTACTACAGCTTCTCGCCGACGCCAATTTCATTATTCCTACCTTTGATTTGATTAACACTGTAGCGCGAAGCAGAAACGCTGAGTCATGGCTCCTCTATTTCAACCACTATCCCCAGTTTATGAAGGGGGACCTGAAAGGTGTCATTCACGCAATGGATCTGGCCTACTGGTTTGATTTAGATACAACTTACTTGCTGCACCTCATGGCCCCAGGAGTAACGGGTGTATTTGAGGAGGAAGATTTTAAATTGAGAAGGATTTTTTCTGATACTATAGCGTCATTTATAAAAACTGGGTAAGTATCTTAAATTCTTTTGGGTTTTTTTTTTTTTTTTGTACTTTTTTAAAATTGTTTTTTATTTTCATAACTACAACTTGAGCACGCCATTTGTTGAGACCCCATTATTAACTGGTATTCCATTAAAAAGAAAACTTATCTTAAAGCAAATAAAATGAACTAAGGCTTCACCGAGTGCATTTTTACACCGGGTCCGGATATTTTGAAAAAATTCCCGATGGGTCCAAAGGTTTCAAACAAAGAGTTAACCTCTCATTTTCTATGATATGCAACGAAATCTACTAACCTATGTCGTAGTGAGAGTTCATTGCCTTCGTCAACCGTTTGTGTCAAGAAACAACTCAGTGATAGGAGCCTAACGAAACAACAGTCGCAGTGTAATGAAAATAGCAACCTGGAGTTGCAGCAAATAAAGATTAAATCTCCTGCACTTGGTTACCCCATGATTTGTTATTTTAAAAAAAAATAGAATATTTAAAGCATTATTTTGGAAAGGATCATATTACGATTTTTGGAAGTAATTAAATCCTTAAGCTAATTTGATTCCGTGAACGTAGTGTCGTGATTTTTTTATTTTTTTTTTATATTAAACTTAAAAAATCTTCCATCCCAACTTTTTAATGAAAATGAAAATAAATCTTTCTCTGTAATTTTTTTTGGTGCAAATTTGATAAGACATTAGCTTAAACTCAGAAAGAACAGAATTCTTGGAGAGGAATTTAAATTCTGGAATTTGTGTATGCATTTGAAAAAAAAAATTGTTTCAATGATAAGCAGTTCCTGTAAGCCAAATTAAATAATCCGTTAAAGATCAACAGAATATCAGTTATTGAAAGGTTGTATATACATTAATTGAAAGGTTTTACATACATTAATTGAAAGGTTGTATATACATTAATTGAAAGGTTGTATATACATTAATAATTGAAAAGTTGTATATACATTATTTGAAAAGCTGTATATACATTTATTGAAAAGTTGTATATGCCTTGATTTAAATTTAAACTGTGACAAAAAAGTACAAGTATGCTCTACGAATCACAAGTAGTTATGAGATAGTTAATATGATTTTAATTATCTGTTTTCCCCAGCAATCCACAAGTATCTCTTCGGAAAGAAATTCCCGGTGGATGGCCGAACTATGACCTCCATAACGGTTATTATTTGGACTTTAACCCCAGACCTTCCATACAGAAAAACTTGAAAAGAGAGGTGCGACAGTTGTGGGAGAAAGATCTGCCATCTTGGGCTTTCCAGGAACTGACGCATCAACATACTGAACTTTAAAGATGAAATCTGTAACTTTCTCTGCTCGCCCTTTATCCAAATTGTACATCTTTTTAGAACTATTCCCCCATTGCGTATAGACTCCACTCTGTTATCTTCATTATCTATTTTTAGGGTCTACCAGGCAGGCATTTAAAAAGAAAAATAATACCTAATCCAATATTATCGGGAAACACATTTTGAGTGTCTTCATCGCGTAGGCTAATGTGTAAATCATAATTCTTTTATTCTAACCTTTTTCTTCCACTTCCACTCTTCACTATATCTAAATTACACTAGCAAATTTAACTACTTCTTCTCTAAGATAATATATGAGAAATAATAAAACTACCTCACCATCTACGTACTATGCGTCTGCTCTATATTGTATTTGTAAACTTTAATTAACTTCAACTTTAATCATTTGAACGTCATTACTTATTTGGGCATTTAGGGTATTTAGTATATTTGCTAATAAAATGATACTATTCTTTCTTCATGCACATGGTCAAAACTATATAAAGCAACTATATTTTTTCCAGTGATATTTTTTAACGTTGAACTGTTGTTGTTTTGTTTAATGCATCTTTTTGAAGATAGAAATAAAATTAGATAAAAAAATTATTCTTTAGCATTTTATTAATATTTCTTTATCATAGTTGTGTTAACAAATGACAGCTTATTAATATAATGTTCAGGGCTAACAATGAAGTTAGTCATTCAACAGCCAACTGCTTCGTACAGTAAGATTTGTTAGTGCAGCTTTCGTGTGCAACGGAAGAAATTGTTTATACTAATTATATCAAAACAATTTGTCAACTGATTTAGATAGGAATGTTAATGTTGGGATTATAATTGGCCTAATTTTGTGTTCGGGGGTCATCCATTTATCAAGTATGCACTGATGGGTCACGTGAACAATTTACTATATGCATGTTTTGTTTGAAAAAGTGTGTTGTGAAGGGATATTCCCAGTGGTGTGCATACCTTCATGTCCAAAAAATATTATTTGGGGGAAAATGCTGGTTTCAGTTAATGTTACACTTGATAGCCTTTTCAATACGAATGTTGAAAGTTAAAGTTAAACTTGATAGTCGTTTCAAAACGGGAGTCGAAAGTTAAAGTTAAACTTGATAGTCGTTTCAAAACGGGAGTCGAAAGTTAAAGTTAAACTTGATAGTCGTTTCAAAACGGGAGTCGAAAGTTAAAGTTAAACTTGATAGTCGTTTCAAAACGGGAGTCGAAAGTTAAAGTTAAACTTGATAGTCGTTTCAATATTGAAGCTCAAACAAAAGCAGCAAGTTAACTACGATAAGTTACGAACAAATATCGCAGTGTTTATCAATTGCTCCAATAGTGCCAAGAGTTCTATAAATATTATCTGATAAGCAGTTATGTGGGGCTATTTGTTTCTTACGTATAAGTGACGTGTAAGAAATAGTGCAGTGTGCAAATAAGATAGACCTATAGAGTTTAGGAGATCGGCTATGATAGAATGTTGTCTCGGGTTTAAAGATTCTGGAGGCGCAAAACTAAATATTTAAAAAATATGATCCACATTGTGCGAAGATTGAAAGGCGTCCATTTCTGTTCTTGCCACCAGCCCCTATCCCCGCCATTTTCAAAAATCTCGAGGAATGCCACTTGCCTACAACGTACATGAGATTTATATTGCATCATGAAGATTAATTTTAGTCAGGAAATTAATTTTAGATAGTTTTCTGGTGATGCCTTGTGAAGCTTAGGAATGAGCTGCGGGGGGGGGGGGGGGGTGGCCCCCCGGGGGGGCCTTTTTTTTGGTGGCACTTTTTTTCCTTTAATTGGAGGGGTGGCATTTTCGGCCAACCGCAGGGTTTTTTCGTGGAAAAGTATAGGTGAAAAAAATAGGGGGGGGGGTGGGGGTTGGCAAAAAGCTTGGCCTTCCTCGGGTGCCACTGATAGATATAAAGGGGAAGGATACGGCGAGTGGTAATGGAATGCAACTCATTTCACCATCTTGAATCTTCCACAACTGGACTCATTCTTAGACCAATCGGATCCTTTCAATACTTTCAACCAAATCAGTCAACGCTATTTTCGAGAGCCCCACTCGAGTTTGTGGCAATGGAAAACAGCAAATAGTGTGAACTATCAATTAGTCCAGACATAGGCGGACACAGAATTTTCGGGGGGAAAAATACATTTTTTTTCCCTTCTTTTTTTTTTCTATTGTGGTTTGATTGTAGTTATTTTTAATTATTTATTTATTTTGTTTTGGTTGTCTCTGTCTTGACTGATCATTTCACAGATCTAATAAATACACAAATTCGAGGCAGGGTTAACCGTAATTCCGTAAAATATCGTTAATTGTATTTCTTGTGTCAAGGGGCTAAGACAGAGGCGTGAGCCTTAGAAATCAGTCATATTTATTGTCACGCGAATAGCTAGGCCTAGCAGGCCTACAGCCCGGGGCTGGGCAAGATTTTAGAGGTAACCATTCCAAGAAAAAACTCTGCACTTGTACGACAATGCCGCCTCTCCATATCAAGAAAAAAGTACCTCCGCTCCCGGGCGGATTGTGCAGTGTGTCCTATTGTTTATTGACTATTATTTGACCCTGAAGTCATGACGTCCAGAGGCGTAGCGTGGTGGGGGCAGGGGGGTCAGATTCCCCGGGCGCCAGCTAGTTAGGGGGCGCCAAAATGTGCTTTGATATTATTTTAATGATGAAAATAATGGGTTTGAGAGTTGAAAGAAAGAAAAAGGGGCGCTAAAAATGGATCTTGTCCCCGGGCGCGAATCTTGTCCCCGAGCGCCAAACACTCTCGCTACGCCACTGATGACGTCTCAATGCTCATAAGTTGTTTAAAACATGAATTCTGATATTTTATTATAAATATGAATCTAAAATGTATCGAAATATGTTTTAGCTCTCTAATTTTACAAATAAAAAAAGGCAATCTCTTACAACGGTTCCAAAATGATTTGTTTCTTTACATATCACTTCACCCCCATGGTTAGTAAGAAAATAATAAATCCTATTTTGTATCTTTTTAGCGGGTTGCCTATATAAATAAACTTTAACTTCCGCTTTTTATCGCCCGCTTGTTTACTAGGGGTAGGGGACTAGGGAACTTTAAATTTCAGTCATGTGTGTACAGAGATAAAATAGATAATGCAAAGTTAGAACAGGTAACTTAACATTGAACCCCAACTTCCAATACATACATCCCGTTCATTTACGTTTACCCCTAAATTGCGTGTGTACCTGTAGGAGTAGGAGGTTGCTAGGGGCTGAGTAGGGGCATGGCGTTGACACAAATTCCAACAAATTCAACAATAACAATGGTTCACACTGAGACAATCCAGACGTTGGCTGCAGCTGTGGAAACTGTCATGAATCCTCTTGCAAATAACGAGGATCGTCAGTCAGCCCATAAAGTAAATATTTTTTAATATATTTATATGCTTTTAAGTTCATGAATAATTGTAATATTTAATTATCTCACAACATTCATGAACTCATTGAACTGCAACTGCAAACAGTAGACAAGTAACTAGTTTTAAAAATTATAATATTTTTTAAAGGTTCATGGCTCCGTGAATGATAAGAAAAAAAATTTGAAAAACTAAATAATTGTAAAAAAAAGTATAAGACTCTAAAAGAAATTGATAATTAAATTTTTCACCAGAGAAACTACTAGAAATTAGAAAATATATCTAATCTAGCCACATGAGTTAATTAATAGACTGCATTATTTGGATAAAAAAGTACAATTTTAAACCCCATATGATATATGATGATATAATGATAGCCTTAAAATCTTAAATTTATAAAGGTTTTAAAATAACTTGATTCTCTTTAAAATTTAATGCTGGGTGGGGTATGTAGAGTAGCGCCCAAAGCATGTTAATGTTACGCGTGGGATGTAGCTCATTCCTCCCTTCCTCAAATCGACATGGACCTTAACAGATTTTGGGATGGACATAGCAACTTTATTGTATCCCTCAGATATACAGCACGACACCCGGACAACCTGCGATCGCTTCCTGCCCTCTTGCTCTCTCAAATGCAGAATTTCTACACACTGCATAAATAAGGCAAATTATAGAAATTTTTTGATATTTTAGAATAAGTTGTAATCTGATGACATTGGCGTGTTGTCAGTGAAAGGGCTGAAATAGGAAGGACTAAACGTAGCAATTTGTGCCATGGGAACCTATTTACAGACAGGCCTCAATTTGCACTACACATTTACTGCAGAAGTTAATAATGCTAAAATGTGAAATGACCAGGACTAATAAACTTGTGCGTTATCTGAGACCTCATATTTTTTTAAATCGCCCTAGATATTTACAAAGTTTTAGAATGTTTCCAGATTTGTGAACAGTTCAAAGAAAATACTAAAGATTGCTTTGAGTATGGACTTCATCTTGCCCAAAAAAATAATTCTGCTTATGTTCGCCATTTTGGATTACAAGTTGTTGAACACTGCATCAAGTAAGTTTTTAAATTATACAGTGTTAATGCAAACTGCATGAAATGGTTTTCTCAAATGTAACTATGAACTGTAAAAACAAGAATAGGGTTGTTTGTATGACTTGACTTGAGTGATATAAAAGGGGTGGGAAAGGGGGGGTTGAAAGTAGATTTTTTTTTAAATTGACTAATTACTTAATTTGTTCACAGGTATCGGTGGGAGGAAATAGGTCAAGCCGAAAAATTTGATGTAAAACTAAATGCTCTGAAGCTAGTTGATAAGGTTTGAACAATGATGCTTAGTTGTCTTTGGTTCTTTTTTTTTGTTGGACAAAGTATCCTTTTTACTCGACTATCACAACGTGTACGAAAGTTGTGTGCATATTTCAAATAAAAGTGAATAGGGTTTAATCCTATGATTATATACATTCTGGTATTTCAGGGCACAAAGGACATATTAGAGGAAGCGCAGCATATAAAAGATGGTGTCTCCCGAGTCCTTGTAGAGTTATTGAAGAGAGAATGGCCACAGCTTTGGGATAATCTTTTCACATACTTCACCGTTTTTTGTCAAAATGGGGTGAGATAGTGTGTATTGTAACACGCATTTTTTCATGAAATTCCTGAATATTAAAATAAAATATAAAAGCTGCAATACAAGTCTATATTTATTCTACTTTAAATGTATACCTCCATCTTTTAAAGCAAGTGCTTAAAGAAAATTGTTTTGAAATTAGGGATTAAAAAGGGGTCACATTTTTTTAAATAGTTTTTTTGTTAAAATTAAGATTCCATAAATTATTTTTGTAATTAATTTTTAATTGTCTTTTTAAAAATATATAGGAAATAATTTTCTGGTCCCTGTCAATCAGCAGAAATTATATTTGCCCAATAGTGTTGTGTTTTATTGCTTATAGTGAGTAGGCCTATTTCGAATTGCCCAACCCCAGTGTATTTTATGTGGTTAAAAGGTTATTTTTGTCACTATTTTGAATAAATATAATTTGCCACTACTATATTGTATTCTTCTGAGCTGTTTTGAAATCACCTTAATATGACATGATCCAGCTTATGAACTTTAAATAAACCAAACATTTTGACTGGTTACTAGTGTCAGGTGCTAGCAATTTCATTAGTAATCGCTGCTTATAAATTCTAGTGTAAATTTCATAGCATGTAATACCTAGTGACATTGCCTCTAATGTCAATATTTTAAAAAGAACTAGAATTGTTCTTTTGTACCGGTACTTAAAATATTAAATGCAAGTAAAAATGTTACCGAACAGTCTCTTGGCCTAACATTACAAGTGATTCTATATCTCTGTCATTTGTCTCAGTCTGTGAACAAGTCTTAGATGAATTCAACTTGATTTGAATCTGAAATTTCAAGTCTATTTTCTTTTAACATATATTTCAACTCTAACTTGGGATCTTTATTGTGTAACAGTGGGCCTCAGTTGTGCTACATTTTACCACCTCAGTTAACTTTTCTGTCCATAGTGTGGATATCGGTACCAGTTTGCATGCCTTTAACCTTAAAGATGTACTTTCATACCTGAATCACAAGAAATATGTCCAATTTTGACTGTAAGATTTTTTAGTTAATGGTTATGCAATATTATCATAGACTATAGTTATTTTTAATTACTGCTTTTAGTAATGTTGGAGGGGCTCACATTTCATAATCTGTTTATCCATCTAGGAGACACAAACAGAACTAATTCTACAGACACTTTCGAGGCTTACTGAGGATGTTGTCAGGTTTCAGAATCTCCCCCACTCCAGACGTCGAGAGCTTCTTGAATCACTCACATCTGCAATGGGCTCTATTTTTCCATTTTTTCTATATACACTCAACAAAAATCTCAAGGCTTATCAATCTCAGGTAGGGGGGAAAATAAATAGGCCTACCTAAGTAATAGTTTTGATCATATTATATAACCATAAGAGTAGATAGTTCAAGAAGTATTAATCTGCAAAAGATGAAAATGAATATTTAACCTTAAACTTGTTTAATTTGTATTTAATTTTTTTAAATTAAGAAAGATTTGGTTAATAAGAAATTATAATTTGTGTGAAACCCCAAATAGATTATAATTTGTATGAAACCTCAAATAAATTAAATTTGATAAAAAATACCTTGTTTGCAAATTTTAAAATTAAAGAGTATAAATCAAATTTTTATAGTGACATTAACAAAATGATTTGGTTTTGGATAATATTAATAAAAACTTGTCAAAGGACTAAATAAATTACAACCTCTTTGAAACCGGTACATTACTGTTTCTACTGAAACCAGGCATATTGTCATAACTACATTTGGTGTAAATTAATACCATTTTTGTCTTACATCAGTCAGGTAAAACATCAGAGAAAGCCTGTAAGATTTGCCAGGTGGTACTTGAAACCTTAACTGCTTTTGTGGACTGGGTCAACATTACCTACATCACTGAAAGTAACTTGTTGCCCTTGCTCTGTTCCCTCCTGTTAGACAAGAACTTGTGCCTGCAAGCATCTGAGTGTCTTCTGCTCATTGTGGGAAGAAAGGTGGGTTTCAGTTTCTTTCATTATATTTTTTTTAGTAAGGAACTGTTACTTAAATATTTAGAAGAGAATAGTGAAACAAGGGTGGAGGGATTAAAACAATGAACACTGAAATTTCTACCAATAGATAAATATATATAAGTATTTGAATGTTTAAGGGTACACCATCTGAGAGGATGCCACTATTATTTACCGAGGAAACCATGACAGTTTTATTGGAAGCTGCCAAGTAAGATAGTGGCTAATTTATTTATGAGCATTATTTCTGACATAATCAGAAGACAAATGAAAAACAGGTTTAAAGCATATACTAAAAAAAGCAAATACATTTTTTTAAATTAAAAATAATGCCCACATACACAAAGTAAATAATTTATCTTGCTAGTTTATAAGGCATTTGTAATGCCCAGTTTTTAAATATAGAAAAACATCAAGGCTTTCCCTCTTTAGTTGCAGAAAGCATTGTGCCACCCACTGATTAAAGGGTCAGTTTTTAAGATTGCCTCTATTTTTTATTATTTCATGAATGAATGACTTATATTTATATAATAACTTTTTAGCATGTGCTAATCATGGTAAACTTTGATGACAGCTATATGGTCACTTAATAGAATAATTAATAAAGCTACTTACTATTTATCTGTACATCAGCTTTTGTTAAGAGGCTTCATCATTAATGATGCATGAAATTGTTTTTATTCATTTCCAGCAATGCCACAGACAACATCACAGAATCTACTAATTTCATCTTTTCAAAACGATTGTGTGAAATTTTACTTGAGATTGGCAAACAGCTCTGTACTCTCAGGGTATTAATAGTTCTAGCTTTTAAACACCTATCGTATTACAATAGTTACCCGTATTGTTTTTAATTCCTTTTTAATTGTAATGTAATAAAAAGAATGATATGTTTGTTTGGAAACTTTTCAAATAATACACAGCAAAAAAAACACCATACAAATAATTTTTAAAATTTTCAAAAAGGAATCCTCAGAAGATACTGGCCAGCCTAAAAACAAGGAACTGCTAGCCCAAGATCCAAATCAGGTATCATTAGAAATAATTCAAATAATTGACCTACATCTTTCAGTATAGAACTTCTACTGCCTTAAACATTAAATTTAGAAACCTATCAATAGTTCATTTATACATACCAGTAGTACTTTTGTTTTGTTTTTTATCAGCTCATGCCTAGCCATCCAAATGATGGTACAATGCTTTTTTTGGCCTCAGCAAACCACCTGTTGATTTCTTAATTGCAATATCATTTATTATTAAGTTTTATTTGTGTGTCCTCTCCAGTTTAAATTGTCTTCACAAATACCAGTGAGCTAACAATTGTTTTTGTGAATTTTTTCTTTAAAACAAAAAAAAACTGGGGCCACAAGGTGTTTAATAATAAACTTTTGTTTCTTTTATTGGTGACTTCTGTCCCAGAGTCTACATCAGATGATCTACTCAATGTGGCTTATTTTTCTACATCATCCCATTGCGTCAAAGGATTCAATCGGTGTTGCCATCACTTAAATTTAAGAATGTGTTCGTAAAAAGTTTTTTAAAAATAATAATTTTGAAGATTTAGATATTTTTCATCAAATATTTTACTGAGGTGGCAGCCCCGGTTCAAAGCCTCAATCTTTTAAATGAACTAATCCAAAATAGGATTGAAGTCACTGATACTGGACAAAGAAGAAAAATTTCAACTGCAATTGGAATTTAATAAATGCTGGGGCAAGGATCGATGGGAGGTCCGTCATTAGGATTTGTGTCACCAAGTGAGTTAAACTAAACTAATGGTGTCACCCCCTTAAGACTTGATGATGGACCTCCTCTGAGTTTGCTTTCTCTAATGGCACCATGCCCTGGTGGCAACCTTCTTTAATGGCACCATGCCCTGGTGGCAACCTCCTCTGGTGGTAACCTCCTCTGGTGGCAACCTCCTCTGGTGGCACCCTGCCCTGGTGGCAACCTTCTCTGGTGGCAACCTCCTCTGGTGGCACCCTGCCCTGTGGCAACCTCCTCTGGTGGCACCCTGCCCTGTGGCACCCTGCCCTGTGGCAACCTCCTCTGGTGGCACCCTGCCCTGGTGGCAACCTTCTCTAATGACACCCTGCCCTGGTTGGCAACCTTTTCTGGTGGCAACCTTCTCTGGTGGCACCCTGCCCTGGTGGCAACCTCCTCTAATGACACCCTGCCCTGGTGGCAACCTCCTCTGGTGGCAACCTTCTCTGGTGGCACCCTGCCCTGGTGGCAACCTCCTCTCCTGACACCCTCCCCTGGTGGCAACCTCCTCTGGTGGCAACCTCCTCTACTGGCAACTCCCCCTGGTGGCAACCNGTGGCAACCTTCTCTGGTGGCAACCTCCTCTAATGACACCTTGCCCTGGTGGCAACCTTCTCTGGTGGCACCCTGCCCTGGTGGCAACCTCCTCTAATGGCAACCTTCTCTGGTGGCACCCTGCCCTGGTGGCAACCTTCTCTAATGACACCCTGCCCTGGTTGGCAACCTTCTCTGGTGGCACCCTGCCCTGGTGGCAACCTCCTCTAATGGCACCCTGCCCTGGTGGCAACCTTCTCTGGTGGGACCATATATTCTGGTGGTATCTTTTTCTGGTAGCACCTTGTACTGGTGGGATACATTTTTTATTTGGTAGCACCCTGTTCTGATGCAATCCTTCTCTTTTTGTACCCTGTTCTGGCGGGATCCTGTTTTTGTTATTCAACTACAATCTGTTATGAACAAGACAAATTACAGTTTCTTTCATTATCTTTTGAGAGGTCTGAGGTTTTGGTTGTAATGAGTTCAAACAAGCATTGAGGCAAAACACATTTTTCAAAAGATAATTAATCAGCTTTGATTCATTTTTTTTTTCCATAGGCAATAAATGCCCCTTTTTAGAACTGTGTTAAAAAATGTGTAACCCTTGTGTTGGTCAAGTACATTGTAAAAAAATTAATAAACATGGCATAATTTGGTATAATAATGAACAAAGCTAAACTTAAAGCTCAAGTTGAACAGTGTAAACATTCAACTGTCAAAAAAGCAATGTTTATTTTCCGTGACCAGATGCGCATGATTTTTTTAAAAAAATGTTTGCCGAACGAGACATATCTGCAGCCGCATCTTTTTCCCAGCATTGAATAGTTGTTGGAAATGTATCTCTTTACAGAGGAAAAAGTAATCAACGTTGATTATTATTTCCACACAAGTGGATGTGGAGGGGGGGGGGCAGGGTGAGAGCTTAAAAAGGTGCCAGAACAACCTTAAGAGATTAACTAAGACAGCACCAAGTAACACAATAATGCTGTCTAGTGATACTATAATCTTAAGAGAGAGATTAAATAAGACAGCTTCAAGTAACACAATAATGCTGTCCAGTGATACTATAATCTTAAGAGAGAGATTAAATAAGACAGCTTCAAGTAACACAATAATGCTGTCTAGTGATACTATAATCTTAAGAGAGAGATTAAATAAGACAGCTTCAAGTAACACAATAATGCTGTCCAGTGATACTATAATCTTAAGAGAGAGATTAAATAAGACAGCTTCAAGTAACACAATAATGCTGTCTAGTGATACTATAATCTTAAGAGAGAGATTAAATAAGACAGCTTCAAGTAACACAATAATGCTGTCCAGTGATACTATAATCTTAAGAGAGAGATTAAATAAGACAGCTTCAAGTAACACAATAATGCTGTCTAGTGATACTATAATCTTAAGAGAGAGATTAAATAAGACAGCTTCAAGTAACACAATAATGCTGTCCAGTGATACTATAATCTTAAGAGAGAGATTAAATAAGACAGCTTCAAGTAACACAATAATGCTGTCTAGTGATACTATAATCTTAAGAGAGAGATTAAATAAGACAGCTTCAAGTAACACAATAATGCTGTCCAGTGATACTATAATCTTAAGAGAGAGATTAAATAAGACAGCTTCAAGTAACACAATAATGCTGTCTAGTGATACTATAATCTTAAGAGAGAGATTAAATAAGACAGCTTCAAGTAACACAATAATGCTGTCCAGTGATACTATAATCTTAAGAGAGAGATTAAATAAGACAGCTTCAAGTAACACAATAATGCTGTCTAGTGATACTATAATCTTAAGAGAGAGATTAAATAAGACAGCTTCAAGTAACACAATAATGCTGTCCAGTGATACTATAATCTTAAGAGAGAGATTAAATAAGACAGCTTCAAGTAACACAATAATGCTGTCTAGTGATACTATAATCTTAAGAGAGAGATTAAATAAGACAGCTTCAAGTAACACAATAATGCTGTCCAGTGATACTATAATCTTAAGAGAGAGATTAAATAAGACAGCTTCAAGTAACACAATAATGCTGTCCAGTGATACTATAATCTTAAGAGAGAGATTAAATAAGACAGCTTCAAGTAACACAATAATGCTGTCCAGTGATACTATAATCTTAAGAGAGAGATTAAATAAGACAGCTTCAAGTAACACAATAATGCTGTCTAATGATACTAAATTTCACAGTTCTGGTTATGTACAATGTGTCATAATAAATGGATTGTGTGGTCAAGAGTCACAAGCCCAGTCACAAGCCCAGTCACAAGCCCTTGTTCTCCACCAGGCACTGCATTCATTGGACAAAGTCTAAGACTAACAGATTGAGGATGAGGAGGGCAGGGCTCTTACCATCACCCGACAACGCTGCAGGGCCATGGTGATAGGACCATTTTGTCTGGATTTGTGAAGTTTCTGTCATGCATGGGGACCTTCACACAAATAGACAGTGATATCAACCAAATGGGTTGACCGGCCATACTGCGTGCACATCACTAACTATAAAAGTATATCTGCAATGTTTTAATGCACCCTCCCCCAATCTGTGAGACGATAAAAAAAGCAGTCTTACTTAATATAACTTTAAAGTCTTTGCTGTCATTTAAGCCTCACAATTTTAGTGCCCCCCTGGGACGTTCATATATTTAAACTACCAACTGTCACGAAAAATGGCAAATAATGCCGCCCAGGCCGGACCTCCTCTTCACATCCCCGACATCATTTTCTTGGCCACCGTCCCGTGGAGTGTTATATGACCTCCTATAATCTACAAACTGCCTCCCTGGGGGTTTTAATTGTATTTCATGTCATTATGGTGTATGAATGATAATAATTTTTAAGTTCGGGGAAAAGGGGTGGGAGGGGGGGCGCGGAGGCTGAGAGCTCATTTTACATACACATAAATTGGGCGGGGGGGGGGGCCAAAAAGGACAGATGCATGAAAAGGAAGAGGCGCTAATATTTTACCATCTCTGCGTTAGTAATCTACGGATGACCCCTAATGGCCCTAACATAATTCATTGCCTTAATATCAACCAAATTTTTGGAGTGATCACCCTTATGAAATTCTTGCTAAATTATTGGTGGTTTATGATTATAATTTTTTTTCTCAAATAAATCATACATAGCGGAATGCATGTAGTGGGCCTTTTGCAGCATATAACAAAACGAAAGCTGGCTTGCGGGTGTCTGCAAGATTCTTTGAGCCCACCCCACTTGGCCGCTTTTGAGCGGACCACAACCCCCACCCCCCCCCCACCCCCCCATCTCTGCTGACACCCTTAATGAAAGACCCCTGCATGTAGTGGGCCTTTTGCAGCATATAACAACACGCAAGCTGGCTTGCGGGTGTCTGCCAGATTCTTTGAGCCCACCCCACTTGGCCGCTTTTGAGCGGACCACAACCCCC